TGGTATTTTTCTTTTTACAATTATTTATCGTTTTTGTTTCTGTTTTTTTTTTTTTTCACAACAATTTTTCTTTCAATTAAATCCGTCACCTTAATAATTTTTCATTTAAACTATCGGCAATCGCACGACTATTATGACTCGTGGTTCTGGCAGCAGCGTGATGCTGCTGCTGGCCACTGACATTGGTGGCTGTCGATGTTTGCATAAAACCCGCGGTCATTTTTACGTTGTTTTCTTTAATACAGTGTGTTGTTGTTGTTGTTCTAGTTAATTTTGTTGCCGTTTTCACAATAAACATCTCACTTGTTAAACATCTCTAGTTCTACTAAATTGTTTTCTTTTTTTATTTCCTTCTTTTGTGGAGGCTTAAAGCTTTTGGATTCCACAAAATATTCTATTCATTCATTGAACTTGAAAATCAACCCCCTTTTTGAAGTGGCAAAAACAAAAAACACAAAGAACAAGGAAAATAATGGACCTTTTTCCTAACATCCCCCAACCCCCACCAACAGGAATTTGAATGAATTTTCTATCCCCCCTTCGTCGAAAACGCACACAAAATAAATGTTTATCCTGAGACAATGCCGCCAAGTCCGACCATCATTACGCACATTTCTTTTTGGGGGATGCTTTAAGAAGCTTTTTATTTTCTTTTATTTTTTGGGCCATGTTTGTTTAGTGGTGGTCGTGGTGGTGGCCAAGAATACCCAAAAAAAGAAAAACAAATACCAGACTCTTATTGTCACGGCAACACACAAAAAGTTAATCAAGCCAAAGCACTTCTCGGACTAACCAGAAAGTAAACAACCTTTTCTCTCCCCTTCCCCACTCCAAAAGAAATTCTAAATTGAAACATTTGTAACTTTAAGAGAAAGTTTGCCATGTTTTGAGTGCCTACCTATATAAAAACATGCTCAAAATTGCCACTCAAAACATAACCAGCCACCCATCTGCCTTCGAAGTCTCTTTGACTTACTCATAAAACCGTCATATTTTCCCTTATCCCTGCCTTAGATGATGACAAGACAAGCGTTACATTTCTTTAGGCTATTCGTAACACTGTTCTTTACACCAACCACACCAAAAAAACGGGGGAGCCAACAACAACAAACAGCTTTGCCGATAAAAATCACCGTTAAGAAACATCAACAAAAACAAAGACTCCTAAATCTCTGAGAAAGTTTGTGTTTTTTTTTTGCTGAGAGATGCCTTGCATGCCGCCGTTACTCAGAGTTCACATGTGTGTGAGTGCGTCGGAGTCATTGTTTTGTTTTGGTTTTTTTTCGGGGGAGCCGTCGTTTAATCATGTTTTTATTGACTCGCCAGACTTGAAGTAAAGTTCAAAGTTGTTGTTGTTGCTCTATTGTTGGGGATTAAAAGAGAGCTCTCACGTGTTTTATTAATCACATGTAAATGTGTGAATATTAATGCGTTGATGTTACTGTTGTTGTTGATTTTGTAATCCATGCAAAAGGAGAAGACTTTGTCGTCAATGATATGATGATGATGAGAGATGATCTGTTTATTATTGAATTTAATGAAGAGGAATTTGGTGGGGCAAAAGAGTTGGAAATGGGAGGTGGATAAGAAAATAGAGATGGCGTAGTGACGGAAAGGGCATATAGAGTTGAAACAACTAGTTAGTGGTTAACGTAACGTAGAACAGTGGTTTATAATTGGTGAAACCCGTTTAAAGAGAAATATAAAAATATATATAAAATTAAAATAATAAATTGAAAAAAAATAATAAAAAAGAATAAAATAAATAAAATAAACACATAAAAATAAAAAATAAAATAAAAAATTCATAAAATAAATTCTAAAAATTAAAAAAAAAAATAAAATTAAAAAATTCAAAAATAATAAAATTTAGAAATAAAAAAATAACAAAGGATAAAATAACAAAATATTAAAATAGAAAAAATATAAAAACCAATGAATAAAAAAGCACAAAAAATAAAATATAGAAAAAATAGTTATAAAGAAAAACAAATGCATAAAATAAATTAAAAAAAATAATAAAATTTAAAAAAAAAATAAATTGTTAATATAATAAAATTTAATAAATAAAACTGAAAAATAAAATTGTTGTGTAGTACAATATTAAATCTATGGCTAACAAGTTAAAAGATATCAGTCGCTGATGCCAACAGATGTATACCACCCTCAGCCAATGCCCGTTTATCTAAATCACAGTGAAACCTCCCAACAGTAGACGAGGACGGTCGACCGAAGTTTGTCCACTTTAAGGATGTGACCGCCTGTGGGAGGTTAAATAAAAAAAATATTTTTTTAACAAAAGAGATCGGCGGACACCTCTTTACTATGGACCAATTTCGATCGACCGTCGCTGCCCATGGTTGGGAGTTTTCATTGTATTGTGAACATTTCGTATCTGACCTATGACGCTTTATATTCGTAAAACGTGCCAGATTTGGACTAAATCGACAACATTCTTCACCATATATGAGATGTGTGCAAAATAGTGAAATGTGAGTTATGTACCAAATATTCCACTTCATGGAATACTGATAAAAATATTGCTATGTCCAAAATTTAAAGAAAATCATACATATCCAGCTTAATGCGAATTATTTATAAACTTTTGTTGGAGAGGTGCAAGAAGGAGTGATCTGATATTATCCATTTTCACAGCAGAACTTGTGTTAGTAAAAATATTGGAATGTATGGAATTTGAAGAGAACCAGATGCTTATTCCACATTTTATGAGCCTTTTAATTATTCAAAAATTTGGTCCCTTTGTGGGGGAGGTACCAGAAGGCTTGGTCCAATATCTACCATTTTCACAGCAAATCTTGTGTTAGTAAAAATATTGGAATGTGTGAAATTTGAAGAGAATCGGGTGCTGATTGCAAGTTTTGTGAGAGTTTTAATTATTCAAAAATTTAGTCCCTTTGTGGGGGAGGTACCAGAAGGAGTGGACCGATATCTACTATTTTTACAAAAAAAAAATCTTATTAGACGAAAATTTGGGATGTACGAAATTTGAAGTCAATCGGACTATTATTTCACATTTTTTTAAGAGTTATAATTAATCAAAATTTTGACTCCTTTGTGAGGGAGGTACCAGAAGGAGTGGCTCGATACATTCCATCTTCACAGCAGATCTTGTGTTAATGAAAATATTGGGATGTGTGCAATTTCAAGAGAATCGGGTGCATATTTCGCATTTTATGAGCGTTTTGGTTATTCACAATTTCGAACCCTTTGTGAGGGAAGGTACCAGAAGCAGTGGTCCGACATATTCCATCTTCTTACCAGATTTTATATTGGTAGAAATATTGAGAACTGCGAAATTCGAAGATGATTGGGTGCTTATTTCAGGTTTTAGGATCGTTTTAGTTATTCAAAATTTTGACCCCATTGTGGGGGAGGTACCAGAAGGAGTGGACCAATGCCAACCATTTTCACAGAAGTTTTTGTGTTAGTAAATATATTGGCATGTACGAAATTTGAAAAGAATTGGAGACTTATTTCGTGTTTTACTAAGAGTTTTAATTATTCAAAATTTCGAAGCCTTTGTGGGAAAGGTACCAGAAGCAGTTGCCCGATATCTACCATTTTTGCCACGAATATTGTATCAGACAAAATATTAGGATGTGTGAAATTCGAAAACAATCGGACTCTTATTTTACAATTTTATAAGAGTTATATTTTTTTACAATTTTTACCCCGTTGTGTGGGAGGTACTTGAAGTAGTGGGCCGATATCTACCATCTTCACAGCAGATCTTGTGCTAATGAAACTATTGGAATGTACGAAATTTGAAGAGAATCGGATGCTTTTTTCACTTTTTATGAGAGTTTTAATTATTCAAAATTTTGACCCCGTTGTGGGGGAGGTACCAGAAGGATTGGTCCGATACATTCCATATTCACACCAGATCTTGTGTTGATGAAAATATTACGATGTGTGAAATATAAATAGAATCAAAAGCTTATTTCTTATTTTATGAGAGTTATAAATATTTTAAAATTTGAGCGCTTTGTGGGGGAGGTACCAGAAAAAATGGTCCCTTCTATCCGTTGTCCATACCAGCACTTGTAGTGGTTAAAATATTCAAATGTGCGAAATTTGAAGACACTCGGACTCTTATTTCACATTTTATAAGGGTTAAAAATTTTTCAAAATTTTGACCTCTTTGTGGGGTAGTGATAATCTAGCACTGATAAAAATATTAGGATTAGCAAAGTTTGGAAAAAATTGGATAATTATTTCCTTTCGCATATAGCTAAAATACTGCCAAAAAATTTTTTTTTTAAATATTCCAAAAAAAAAAAATGGTAATCTTTTTATAAAAAAAAATTGCGAAAAATTGCAGAATTTTTCATTTAAAAAAATAAGATTTTTTTTTTTGTTTTTTTTTTTTATGAAAAATTGTGTATTTTTAAGTTTTCATATTTTTTATTTTAAATATCTCACACGATTTCTTGAATTTTTTACGCCTTTTGAAGACCAGACTTTATTAATACTGATTGAGGATTTTTCGGTTTCTGTTGCTTGCCAAAATCTTCATAATTTTTTTCAGTTAAAAAAAAACAGTACTAAATTAAAAAAAAAAAACAGAACTAGTTGTTCCTAAATTTTTTCATTTTTTTTTTTTTTGAAACAGGATCTACTAATTTTGCATTTTTTTTTTCGATATCATAAAGGAAAAATCGGTTATCGTAGTAAAAAAATTACATTCTTGTAGTTTTGCCGTTTATAAACCATTTTTTGGGACATTTTTTACCGAAATATTTTTTTTTTGTAATTTAACCTCCAACCTAATTATGGTATTATTGCAAGGGAATGTTGAATATTCTCCGACTATTTTCCAATTTTAGTGGGGTTCATGTCTTCCTAAGACTACATTTCCCCCTACGGCATGATCAATCAAAACGATCCCCGAAATGTGTTGCAATTTCCAAATTTTTACATATTTTCTTTTCAATTTTTTAAAACTATTCCCCTTATTTCTTTTTTCGAATAATACATACTTGCTCTGATCCACCACCGGCTGCATCCAGGCCCTGGCGCCCAACGGTTCCTCCTTCAGCGAGGTCATGGGTCCACGCGGCTGATTTAAATCGGCGGCTGTTGGTGGCAGGCCAAACATAAGGCCGCTGGCGGTGCGTGGTGCCGCTGTGGGATACAATTTGCGGCCCCATTCCAAATCCAAGGTGGGCCAGGGTGAGGCCGAGCTGAAACCCGGCACAGGTTCATCGGAACGCATAATGATTGATTAGTTTTTTTTTTTTTGGCAACAAAAACAAATAACACTAAATACCAATTTGATTTTCTCAAAATACTTTTGATTGTTGTTGTTTGGATATTTTCACTTTTAGTTTTGGGGCCGACACAGAGAGAGAGAGTGAGAAACAAAACTTAAAATTGACACTTGGCCTTAAGAGAATTGATGATATTGGCTGCTTGTTGTTGCTGCTGTTGTTATTGGGATTTTTGTGGGTGATAATGAGCCAATGGTTGACTCAGTTGCTGTTTTGTATTTTATCAATGGCCCTTGGAGAATTTCGATAATTTTTTCAAATCACCTATTTTCTGTCTGATGATATGTTGTACAATTCTCTCACACACACACACCAATTCACATTCATGTAACACACATTTACACACACTGGTTTTGGTTTGGTTCTGGTTTTTTTTTTTTTTTGCTTTTGGTCACAAAACAATTGTAAGCGCGATCTACCGTCCCGAGTGGCAGTTAAACCCCAACTGAATCCGCAATGTGATGTTATGAAACGACGACAATCTTATGTTGCGAGACGTCGATGCCGTTCCTAGCTTCGTTGTTTTGCGTTGTGTTCACTTGCTCGTTCAGTCACCAGCAGCAGCGCACTACAAACTGCTAAACACAGAGCAGGGAAGCATGAATGGTCATGCCATCATCGAAGAACGGTACCACGACGCACACACAACCCGGCAGCAACAACAACAACAACTACGACACCAAAACAGAACAGCACCAGACCAGTGGTGGATGGTTGGCTGGCTGGCTGTTTGGCACAAAAGGCGTTGGCAATAGCATTGCTGTCTAGAGTGTATGCCTGTGTGTGTGTAAGGATGTGTGCGTGTGCTAAGAGACAAGGCTAGCAAGGGTATTGCATTGCTATTGCTATTACACCACAACTCAATGCTCATGACTCTTACAAGCAGCCAGGGGAATGAAATGGAAATGGTCTACTTTTTTTTTGAAAAACTAACGGTAAAATTTCTCCCAATGATTTCAAAGGCCATAGGTCACCATGATAATTATGGCATACATAATTATGTTCAACTGTTTTTTTTTTCGGCAGCAAGTCTCAGGATAATATCAGTGACACCCAGTCCCAGGACAAGGACCCAAACCCTCCTCGTCCCACTTTAAAAACAAAAAAATCCTTCCAAACCTTTCCTTTAGAGGCCTTAGTATCATAGCACACACATTTACTTACACACATTAAAACATTAATGCCATGGCCCCACCTATCCATCATTCGACGGCCCCTAGCTTTACCTAAACAGCAACAACAACAACAAGAAAAAAGAACGAAAAAAATAAAATACACCCAACCCAAATGCCCACTGAAATAAATCCACAGGGATATGCGCTGTGGGCTCTGCAAACGAACAACAACAACAGCAATATCACTACGGCAATAACAATAACAACAATGTAACGGTGTTGATTTGCCATGGTTATGCCTGGCGCATTAACGCACACACACACAACAACTACAAATTGAAATGAACCACCTAAGCCACAGCCACGCCACCATCAACACCACCTTCAAAAAAAAATAACAACAATGCTTAGTGCACTCAACTAACACGAGCAGCAACAACAACAACAGCAAGTACAAGCCACACTCGACACATCCACTGGTGGGCCACGACGAAGCAATGGGCATGGGAGTCGTGCATTAAATATAACCGAGAGCACAACAGAGATGGCATTACGAAAAAAACGTGAACGTTCTCTTGGCTCCATGAAATGGTAGGGGGAAAGAGAGAGAAAGCATATCATGCTCTTTGTGAACTCCATTAAAGAGCCACCTAAGCAAACAAAAAGGGGGAATTTAAAATACAAAAATATGCAATAAATAATGGATTTTTTAATAAAAAGTTATTAAAAATATAAAATTAAGCAATTAATGAAGATATTTAAATTAATACTTTTTATTAAAAGCAAAAATAAATAGCAAAAAAATATCAATTAAAATATTAAAAAAATGCCTTTACTTTGCTCTCTCTCTCTTGCTGGGTAACTAAACTGAGAATGACTCCCTTGCGTTATTGGTTGGTAACAGAGAATGATTGTGATTGGTTGTTTTTTCCCTTCAAAGCAAAGAGAAACAAATGGAATGAAACTTATGATGGAAGAGGAGGGAGGTCGATAATGCCGTGCTCATTATGGAAATGAAAACATTTCCCCTTATTTGCCCGCTTTCATGTCATGTAAAGGAATGTGTTTCATTTCATCTTTTTTTTTGATGTTTTCTTTTTCTCTGCAATTAAAACAACAAAATATATTTGGATTCTCATTGGTCTGAACACATTATCAAAGAAATAGCAACAAAATTCATTCAGAGCATAAGAATTTCGTTGTTTTTTTTTCTTCTTTTTGAATAACTGAGAAGAGGGTGCTGCTCCTCTTTGGATAATCATAATAATATTGTGGTTTATTTTGAGGAGGAGCTAAAATATTTATACAAGCAGTGTTTTGTGGCCATTGTCTTTTAGTCAAGTCATGCTGTTGTATTTTATTGTAATTTGTGTGGTCTTTGCACACATTTTCTAATTAAATGCTAAACAAACATCAAAGAGCCCATAATCATCATCAGCAGGAGTAGCAGAAAATAATCAAAGGTTGGTTTATTTGCGTTTTGGTTCAATTTGCCGTTGCTGGATAGAATGACATTTGGTTAATTTTCTATCAGATTTTAGTGGAATATTGTAGAGGTCTAAACCTGGATTTACAATGGAATTTTTCTAGCACCGTTGAGGATCTAAAATCATGGATTTTTAAAGAATTTTTTGGGCCCCCTTGAAGGTCTCAGAAAGTGATTTAATGGAATATTGTAAAGGCCTTAACCTGGATTTACAAGGACATGCCTGAAGGTCTCAGAATTTCCGTAATTTTCCACCCCATTACAGATCCCAAAATTTGGATTTTAAAATAATGTTTTCTAACACCGTTAAAAATTAATTTTTTTGGCTTTCCTGAAAGTCTTACAACTGATTTTTTCACCCCATCACAAATCTCAAAATGGATTTCAAAATAAATTTTTCTAACACCGTTAAAGGTCTAAAATAATGGATTTTTAAAGAATTTGTCAAGGATTTTTTGGCTTCCATGAAGGACTCAGAAAGTGATTTTTTCCCGATTACAGATCCAAAAATTTGGTTTTAAAAAAAAGTTTCCTAGAACCGTTGAAGATTTGAAATCATGGATCTTTGAAGGATTTTTTAGGCTGCCCCGAAGCTATTAAAAAGTGATTTTTTCACCCCATTGCAGATTCTGAAATTTGGATTTTAAAGGAAATGTTTTCTAAAATCATAGATTTTTAAAGAAATTTTCAAAGATTTTTTTAGGCTTCTTGAAGGTCTCAGAAAGTGATTTTTTGGGCCCCATCCCAAAATTTGGATTTAAAAAAAAGGTTTCAAGTCCTAAATCTTCAAATAATTTTTTTTAGCTTCCCTGAAGGTCTCAGAAAGTTATTTTTTCGTCCATTACAGACCCCAAAAATTTGGATTTTAAAATAAAATTTTCTAGCTCCGTTGAATATCTAAATCATGGATTTTTATAGAATTTTCGGGGCTACCTTGAAGGGGTAAGAAACTGATTTTTTGCACCTCTTTTCAGATCCCAAAATTTGGATTTTAAAATAACGATTTTCGAAATCATGGATTTTTAAAGACCTTTTTTGGCTTCCCTGAAGTTCTTAGAAAGTGATTTTTACCTCATTAAAGATCCGAAAATTTGGATATAAAATCATGATTTTTTAAAGGATTTTTCAAGAATTTTTCAAGGATTTTTTCAGAATTTTTCTGGCATCCCTGAAGGTCTAAGAAAGTGATTTTCTTCACCCCATTACAGATCCCAAAATTTGGATTTTAAAATAATGTTTTCTAACACTGTTGAAGGTTTCAAGTCATGAATTTTCAAATAATTTTTTTTGGCTTCCCTGAAGGTCTCAGAAAGTGATTTTTTTCAACCCATAACAGATCCCCAAAACTTGGATTTTAAAATAAAGTTTTCTAGCTCCCTTGAATATTTAAATAATGGATTTTTATAGAATTTTCGGGGCTACCTTGAAGTCCTAAAAAAGTGATTTTTTCACCCCACTATAGATCCCAAAATTAGGATTTTAAAATAACGATTTTTTTAAATCATGGATTTTAAAGGCCTTTTTTGGGCTTCCTTGAAGGTCTTAGAAAATGATTTTTTTTCCCATTAAAGATCCGAAAGTTTAGATCTAATATCACGAATTTTTAAAGGTTTTTAAAATAATTTTTCCAGAATTTTTCTGGCTTCCTTGAAGGTCTCAGAAAGTGATTTTCTTCACCCCTTACAGATCCCAAAATTAGGATTTTAAAATAATGCTTTCTAGCACCGTTGAAGGTTTCAAGTCATGAATTTTCAAATAACTTTTTTGGCTTCCCTGAAGGTCTCGGAAAGTGATTTTTTCGTCCATTACAGTTCCCAAAAATTTGGATTTTAAAATAAAGTTTTCTAGCTCCGTTGAATATCTAAATCATGGATTTTTATAGAATTTTCGGGGCTACCTTGAAGGGGTAAGAAACTGATTTTTTGCACCTCTTTTCAGATCCCAAAATTTGGATTTTAAAATAACGATTTTAATTTGTAAAGGATTTTGAAAGGATTTTTCAAGAATTTTTCTGGCTTCCTTGAAGGTCTTAGAAGGTGATTTTTTCACCAGATCCCAAATTTTGAATTTTAAAATAATGTTTTCTAACACTGTTGAAGGTTTCAAGTCATGAATTTTCAAATAATTTTTTTTGGCTTCCCTGAAGGTCTCAGAAAGTGATTTTTTCACCCTTTTACAGATCCCAAAAATTTGGATTTTAAAATAAAGTTTTCTAGCTCCGTTGAATATCTAAATCATGGATTTTTATAGAATTTTCGGGGCTACCTTGAAGGTCTTAAAAAGTGATTTTTTTCAGCCCATTACAGATCCCAAAATTTGGATTTTAAAATAACGATTTTTTTAAATCATGGATTTTTAAAGGCCTTTTTTGGGCTTTCTTGAAGGTCTTAGAAAATGATTTTTTTACCCATTAAAGATCCGCAAATTTGGATATAAAATCATGAATTTTTAAAGGATTTTTCAAGGATTTTTCCAGAATTTTTCTGGTTCCCTTGAAGGTCTCAGAAAGTGATTTTCTTCACCCCATTACAGATCCCAAAATTTGAATTTTAAAATAATGCCTTCTACCACCGTTGAAGGTTTCAAGTCATGAATTTTCAAATATTTTTTTTTGGCTTCCCTGAAGGTCTCGTAAAGAGATTTTTTCCCCTTTTACAGATCTCAAAATTTGGATTTTAAAATAAAATTTTCTAGCTCTGTTGAATATCTAAATCATGGATTTTTATAGATTTTTCGGGGCTACCTTGAAGGTGTAAAAAAGTGATGTTTTTCAACCCATTACAGATCCCAAAATTTGGATTTTAAAATAACGATTTTTGAATTCATGGATTTTTAAAGGCCTTTTTTGGCTTCCCTGAAGGTCTTAGAAAGTGATTTTTTCAGCCCATTTAATTTCCGAAAATTTAGATCTGAAATCATGAATTTTTAAAAAAAAATTTTTAAGAATTTTTCCATGATTTTTTCTGGCTTCCTTGAATGTCTCAGAAGGTGATTTT